ATGAGCGTCATGTGAACTTAGCCTTAGCCAGAGAGATGAACATTTTTAGAATTGCCAAGACTCTTCCATTTAAATGTTAATGTAATGAATGTGCTATCGATTCATTGTTCTGAGAGACTTTTGAGAAAATGCTTATAAATATAACAAGTGTTGATTAAGGTTTAGGAACCTGCAAAACATGTGTAGTAAAATGATAAGTATAAGTCATGAATATTCAAACTTTTCTAGTGCTTTTAACTGAGTTATTATATTGATATATAAGATTCATGATTACTGTATGTACGTGTCGTATTTACAGGCGACCTTCAAACAACATAGATACGTGTAATATCTGAACAGATTTGGGCAGTTCGCAAATTTATTGCGAGCACTAGTCTTGCAGTCTCTCGACGGCTTCTAAGTCAAATTTATTAAGGCAATTAAACAAGAGGAAGGCCCACATTTTTTACCGCGCCGCTAAGAAAATGGCCGAGCTCTCCTGAATTAAATTACGGCTATCTAACCTTCCACGTAGCTGGGATTTTTTTTTTATCTATATGTAAAATGTATTTTAAAGCCGCCCACTTCCCGTGTCCCCGTTTTTGAACCTAAAATACGTCCTACAATTTTTGAATATCGTTTTCACCATTTAGTAAAAGTTAGTAAAATATTTCTTACAGTATTAACATTTATTTGTATGTAAACTCTCTACCATGGTTTTGTATCGGAATATCGTTTTGCTGATGTTTGATTTAATCATAAATTACTGATCTGTATTCACGTAAAGCAATTGCTGGTAAAGTGCAAGTACTTGTATGTACGATGCAGTAGAGGCATGCTGGTGTGCAGTTAGCTTGGCAACTTCTCAGTGTAGTTACAGATATTGCTGCGGGAAGGAGCAATGCAATGTAAAGCGGCTGTAAATCGTCGCAGCGCTGAATGCTAAGCCACCTCGGCGTTTCCGTCTCGGTGACTTGTGGTGCCTCGAATTCACTGACTAATGTCTAACGATCTTTGACTTTACGACATTACTTGTGAAGTGTGCGGATTGCTTTCATAAAGGCGTGTCGATTTAACGTACGCGTCAAAACGATATGCGCAAGTGTTATTATCATCTTTACCAACCCTCCGCTAAAAGTGATAGGATTTATTTCATAACTACAACTTTGCCTAGTCCATTTCTGTATAGTCAAAGCTAACGACTCATTGCTGTAAATGGGCTTGCTACCGTTATAATGCGGTTAGTTCTGGCAGAAGAAACGTATCAAGACAGCTACTTACAAAAAGGATCTTCTGACCCTTTTTGACATTGACAGGGAGGCGCTAGTAAACTGTCATAATTGATTTTGACTTTTGTCCAACGGGTAAAATTACTTTGTCGGTCTATAGATTGTTTGCTCTGACTTCTAACAACTTATAAATACTTTTAACGTGAGTTTGATATGGACAGAGGAAGGCGACAGCGAATATATTTTACTATCTATCCTTTTACATGTCAACCTTTTTTTTCAGTCGATAGTCAAATGATTTTTTTCCAGGAACACCAAAGAAAAGGAAAATTCTATCGTCCATAGTTTCGCGGAACAAGCAAAAAGGTTATTCGTATTTCCAAATAATTCTTTTCAGGTTTTGTGGCATAATACAAACGTTTATAAAAAAATTCTTTCGTTGAACCTTTGTAGTGATGTCGGATTTGATTTGATTTTATCTGCGTGAAATGTTTTATAAATCTCCAGTTGCGTCGTTAAATATTGACCGTCTTTTCTAAAATAACCAAACACAGCGATGTTTTTTGTATATCGTCTACACAGACTCCGGATAATCTTCGTGAGAAGAAAGAATTTCATGTCTATATTTTGTTTCGTGTTTTTTAAATGAAAGCTAAAAATTTCACAAATACGCTGTACAAGTACGTCTGTATATCAACACTTTGATTTACGTTTGGGGTATCGGAATGATGCAATTAAAAATGAAGATCGCTACTTATTTCCAGCGCTTTCTTTTAACTATAAAATAAAACTATGAAAAGAAAATTTCTTGTATACGTGATTGTAATTAAATTTTAATGAAATAAAAGCGAGTCCCGCTCCGCGCCGCGCCTCGCCGCGCCTGTCGCCTGTCGCGTCGAGTGGCAGCAACGTTGAGCGCCCTCTGCCGTTACAACTTTGACAAACGTTCGTGTTCACACAGTTTCTAATCTCATTTCATATCTGTTGCGATATAAAGCATTTAAAAGTTTTTCTTCCATTGTCTGTATAAGTATATGAGAAATTTCCACTTTCTGAAATATAATTTTGTTTCACAAAATAACTCAGGTTAGGAAAAAATTATCAGAAAGAAACTTATGAAATATGGAAAAAAATATTTTCTTAGTAATATTTATGACCTAAAACTTTTCCGTGAAATTTTCTCTGAAATTAGATGAAATTCCTGATATGATTTATGTTTGGCAGCGAGACAAGTGCCACACATAATGTTATCACGACACTTCAGATCGCTCGGTATTTGAGGAAGAAAACGAGGTATTATTTAAGATTACATAAATATTTTTTAAGATCGCAATCATTTTTTTCCACATCTACTTGCACGAGAACATTTGTATTGTCAATGGGTTTTAGAAGAATTTGAACTATTTCGTTGTATTAATCTTACTAATATTATAAATGCGAAAGTTTAGGTGGACGGATGTATGGATGGATTTTCATCAGAAAGTATCTCCGAAACGGCTCAGTGGATCTTAATGAAAATCTGGTATATATGTAGTACATAGCCTGGAAGAATATATAGGCTCCTAAAAATACTAAAATTTTTTAGGAGCCCGGCGGAGTTGCGGACAAAAGTTGTAAGTGATATATGTACGGTACGAGTGCGGACAATTACTTCCATATATAATAATATATTGTATTATAGTTAGGTAAGCTGAGTCATTGTGCTGTCTGTAGGTCGCGTCTTTGCTTTTTAATTTGCTTAGAGTACGTGCGTGCGTTATTCAGTCGCGACGTCCTACTTTCAATTTTCAACAATTCTTTTGAATTTCTTTTGACTGTTTCCAGGGCAAGCATGAACAAACACACTTTCATTATCCGAAATAGCGGACAAGAGTTTCTGTTTAAGCAAATAAATGAGAAATAATGTTTAAGAATAGAATAAGGTATTTAGGAAATATTATAATAATATCTTTATATTAATTGTATTGACAAATATATTTGAGTCAATGTAAAATAGTCACATGAGATCCGATGACGTATGTACATTTAGGTCACTTGCGGAATCAGAATGCATTAGGTTTACAATTTGAAGCATATCGCGCATACTTCAAACGTATAATCTGATTTTAATTACTTTCTAACGGCGTTTAAAATACCCTCATTTCTTTCATCAATTTTTCAAATTCCCGTGTCCGCATTAAACACTTGTAAATGTATAAAATATCAATCTGAGGACGTACTGTAATTACAGTTAAGCGACAGTTTTGCGTTTAGGTACACTGTTTTGAGACGTAATCGTCTGTTGCAAATGTCATACGTGTTAGTTACCCGTTATGCAAAATGTTGTCAGCGATAATTTAATATTTTATAATATTCAACAATTAATAAAATATTATGTAACTATGAATAAACAATAAAAAATGCGCCAATGAGCGCTTAATCTCAGGCGAGCGCTTTTGGTTGCCGGCTATCGGCGGCTGACGGCTGTCGGCTATCTGCTGTCGGCCTGGAGCGGTCATAACAATATCATGCACAAGTTATCAATGCTTTTTGCACACAATAGATTTAAGTTTTCATGAAAAAATAATTTGCAGTATAAAAGTTGGGATTTATTAATGCTATCAAAAAAGCTCACTCACGCGTAAAATAATAAAAAGTAAGTATTATAAATAAAATAAATGTTATATTCCAAGTAGTAGTCAAATGTTGACTAGTTATCTCTGCAGCACAACATCTTCCAGTATGTTTGTATACCTCCTTATAGTCAATGATGTTATTGTCTCAGAGTAGTGGTGGTAACTGAATCAAAAATGTACATCAATACAACTAAGTCAGCTTATATTCAGAAATAACTAAGAAGTAACGTAAATGTTATAAATTTCCCTGAAGCGCAGTATTCCCAAGGATACTAAGATTGATAGGGGTGAGATTTATGCGCGGGAAAACGTCGAGAAGTGAGTAAAAACCACACAAGAGAAAATAGTGTAATGGTGAAACAAGGTTTAGATTCCCTCAAGAGAGAAATACAAAGTCACGGGGACAAAAAGTATAAAAATTTAAATATTCGCTGCAACAGTACATGGATTCAATCCTATTTATTAGTGTTAAATAAATTTATCATCTGAAATTTCTAAGTTCGCTTCAGCTGCTCATATAACATGTTGTACAGGGTAACTGATCTTATTTTTCTTAGGAGAATCGTGTGTTTCCTAGAAATCGCGGCACATGAGACTAGTTAGCGGTCAATGTTTGTCGTAGAATAATTGAATCTTCCCTAGAAATTACTGCACAAAAGAAGTGTCAGTGCCTTCGCCTGCCTTCAGCTTTTGTACTGTAGATTACCGCTTTTGTCTCAAGCTATTTGATTAATACAATATGTTGTATAATATTATATATCAGGGAGAGATAGCTACGACGTACTCCCACGCTACGTCGCAACTGTAGCAATGCTACATCTTAGTTGCGTTGTCTTCAAGGCAATCGCTTTAGCAGCTTAAAGCTTTACTTGCGAACTTTCACTGTATGAAGTATCACATAAAGGTTGAAAATTTTACTGCAATAAAATATTTAAATAACTAAACAATTTTAATTTAAGTCACAATTATAAAATATTCGTAGTGGTAAAATTAATCGTAACTAAATATTTAACATTTTCAATCTTTTGTGTGACCTATGATATTTTGAGAACGGGTTAGAGGATTGTATTTGACACTTTGTAGGGGCGCGCATGCGCAGCGGCGACGTTCCTTGTCCGTTCTGCGAAGTTGTAAGTTAGCAGTTGTGTGCTACTCGGCAGAGGGAGGCTGTGTCGGGCGCGCACTCTGCACGAACGTTGTGCACGTCGTAGATGACAAAGTGTGACGCGGTCGCGACATACAGCGGAACCGAACAGGTGGCGACAAGCGCTATGTTTGACACATGAGTTATGTGACAATGGGGTGCCAAAGTTTAGTGATGTGGCTGAAGCGGTGGCGGTTAATTGTTTTAGGAATTTCAGTGCTACTTCAATGTACAGACTCTGTGGGTGAGTTCATTTAAATTGAGTTTTAACTAATTTTTGAATGACAATATATGTAAATGTAAATAAAAATGGACCAATGATATGTTTTTAATGTATTATTTTGTTATCTGCATGAAATTTTCTTTTTATAGATTGATGTATACTGTATCATCTACTTAGTCTTATACTAATATGTTTTATACCTCAAGTTTAATGTAAGTTATTAAACTTAGTATGACCAAGTTTGTTAGTATATTTGATGTATGTAACCAGAATTAAAAAAAAATATCGCTTCAAAATATCCTTTAATGAATAATAAATTGTAATCGCTGTCGGATATCGTGAGGCGAGGCATTGATTTAATTAATGGATGAATTCTTCGGATCAGTTTTCCACAAAGTAATTGTAACTTAATCTTGCAGAATAAAATTGTAAGTAAACATATGTAGGAATATTAAATAACAAATATTCTTATGATACTACAATGTTGTATTATAACAAAGTTGAATTATGCAATACAACTTCAGTTCTCGTAGCAATATTCATTCAAACTGAGTTGATTAAATTTATCTTAAGCACTGACTTAATATACACTGAAGGTTTCCTGCTACAATACGTAATTTCGTACGATGAACGCTTTGCGCTCGTTACAACAATACCGGAAATCCAATAACATCCTGTAGACATCACATCCTTAACAAATCGAATTGAGAAATGTACGCCTGGTGATGTGCTACGCGGCCCTTAGGCCTCATTCTAGCTTGATAAATGATATTGCGTACATTAGGTGAAGTCTAAGGCCGTGTACACACTTAACGCATAGTCATTAGCCAAACCCGAACTAGAGTATAGTTGTTTATTTGTTCTTTTGTTTACAACGTTTGGCACTAGATCGTTATACGAGACGTACAACATCAAAATGCGTTGCAGTTTGAAGTTGTTGGCTAATAATAAGTTTTATGTAAACAAGGCCTTAGACTTCTTACAAATTTTACGTAATGTAAGCAATATCATTTATCAAAAGTGCTGCCATTGAAAATCTCCAGCGATTCTTGAATAATGAATATTCCATTTGGTTCCGAAGCGAGTCTACTTTAGCTGGATTTAATCAAAGGAGAAATAAGATTACACGCAGTAGTCCTCCACAAAGCTTTCTCTGTAAATCTTACGAAAAAAAAACTTTTAATCAAGATATTTAATATGAGAATTTTCAACTAGAACAGAGCTTCTGCTATGGATTTTTATACTCATCTGGACCTCGGGTTTTGTTTATATTAAGTCTTCTTTTTCCTACAAATCTCGCGCCTTCATAGTCTTTGTAATTAAGTAACTATTAAACAGTTAACTCCTATAGTAAAGCAAGTTAACTATTAATATTTTTTGTTAAACTTGACCGTTACACGCATATTTATTAGTATTAGATATTTATTATTAATTCTCGTCCTTAGACAAATTTACTCATAAAAAAAATAAATGAACAGTATAAAGTTATTTGAAAGCTAAGTAATTGAAAGTCCCCACAATGTACATCTTCTCTAAAAGCCTATTTGATATAATATAAGGAATCGCTAAAGTGAGCCATTGCGGCAGCCGACAGACAAGAGACGATATTGGATCTCCCTTCACCGTTTCGTTCGACGAAGCTCCAAATTAATTGGCCTTCGTATTTACGAGCCTGAATTGTTTTCAGTTATGAGTTAACTTTGATTTTATGATCGGATCTCAACACTGCTCAATATTGGACGTTTCAACTTCTGTCAAACTCTCGCAGAGACCCGATCGTTGGAAGTAATTTATTGAGGATCTAATTCTATTGAGAAGTACTAATTCTATAGTGTTGCGATGAAACAAACAAACACCGCTATTGTAAACAAGTATTTGTAACAGTGTATGCTTAACATTTATTGTATTTGTATAGTTAACTTTTAAAGTAATTAATCCTAAGGGAACAAAGAGGCGTTTGACTACAACAAAACTTGTCTATTTCATTGGAACATAAAACCGGAGCAAGTACACGGGTATATTCACCGGCTTAAGTTATCACGACAACACTAGTGTTACATTTAAGGGCATACATATATAAACAAATATTCCCTTTAAGTCGGTGAAGGCTGCCGAGACCCTTTGCGGACTTAATCGGCTTGATGACGGCAGAACGCTATATTTTGTAGCTTTGAATTCAATCTGTTTCCTTAACATTAAATCGTTGAGAAAATTTAGAGGTATTTACTTACCAGTATTTACTTGTTTATCAAAGATTGAACTTTTCCACCAACCAAGGCTTTTTGCAGTAATAAAACGAAAGGATTTTGCCAAAAAAAACCTTCTTGGTCACGAGTCAAACGCAACTCGTCTCTCCGAATAGGATCCTCGTGCGTGTGATTCCTCACAAAATAACCCGCTTCAAGTAATAGTATGCGGTCGTCTTGAATAGAATTAGTATTAAGATCCAAACCCAAACACAGTCGTTTGTATAAAAGAAATTGGGCACGATTCGAGGCCCGAAGGCCAAACGAGACAATATCGCCTCGCGGAGGGTCGCCGTCGGTTGACGATGTAATCACCGAGTCGCGTGACCGAAAAACTTATTGAATACGACGACAATACACGAACTTAATTGTATTGTCCTTTCTTCTCGGAAAGGGTCCACCAGATTTGAACTTTTTATTTGGCCTAAGCCTTTTTTTGGTCGAACGCGCCCGTTTTTTTTTTTTTATTAAAAATCTTTATATTGCTTCAATTTGATTCGTATGTAGATTTTTATCACTAAACTAACACTTTGATATAACACTACTACTACTACTATTTTACAAATTAGGTTTATGTGCTTGCTGACATAAACAAATGTATCAGGGCTAAACTGTCGCGTAGTCCGGTCTAGGTACCGACTAGTTTCACACCTGTCGGGGTCAGAGATTCTTCTTCGGCGATCCGCGGTCGCGTCGCACCAGCCATTGACTCAGTGCCAGGCTTGAATCGACCGCGCGAGATAATCTGTGATTTTTAATGAATGTTAATTAGGGAATACCAGAAGCAAACATCGAAATACTGATGATTTTCAAATTATAAAAATAAAGGCTGCTTATAAAACAAAAAAATATTAAACTCTTTAATTGAGATTAATTAAGCGGATTAAAACAATTAAGGAAGTAAAAAAAATAGATTCTTTGCCCTTATTTAGAACTCTTCAGTTATTATTTCCTGTAAAATTTATTTATCGAGCGCTTCCATAATAAAAGGAAAATACTCCGTATGAAGACGTCGCAAAAGAAAATGATTACTCACTAAATCCTCTGGGAAATTATAAATAATACTTCAAGTGGGCGATAAATCATTTTGTAATGGCGATGATAATATTATGAAAGGTATGAATGTAACTTCATAACTTTACACGCGCAATGAAATATAGTTTGAAAAGGAATATTTCGTGTTCAATGGTTCAGTTGGAGTGACATTATGTGTAACGTTACGACGTATTTCTCACGACACGTGACTCGAATGTTGAACATACTTTGTATTTATTATCTTTATAAAATGTTATGTCTTTTCTACTCGAAGAATTCAACAAATGTATTCTAAAAGCGGTAAAGTATGAAGATACGATTTATAACGTCCACAAATGAAACATCAACGGTTACATTTTCATTTCATAATATTTAGTGTATTTACACTTTTACAGACGAAAAATATTTGTATATTAATTTACGTTCAATTCACAAAAGTGTTTTTGCTTTAAGTTCATTCGACTAGTTGATATTTTTAAATGGTATGAATGGAATGTAACAAAACATTTCTCGTAAAACATAAATGTTTTATTAATCAGTTTAAATGTGACAATAAACATGTTACATATGTAGCGGACTGTAAACAAATTGCGTCTGATATTAATGAGGGTATGTCCGCAAGGCTCGCGGTGCTGCGGGGTGCGGCGCTGCGGGGCGAGCACCAGAGGGCACCACTTAATTTATCAGCGCGAGCCGCAAATAGCGAGCTTAGTTTGTTTGCCGGTAAATTTTAGCGTAAAGCCACGAGGACTTTGTTTGAGTGAGGTGCAAGCAGATAGTGTCCTCACATATTTATGTTTTTAAAAGACAATAACATTCTATATACTATTGAAACACTGTATTTTCATGTCCTTAGTCTCGTCTGACAATTCTAAAGTGTATTTTTATATGATACTAGCTGTCGCCTGCGACTCTGTCCACGTGTTTGTCTAAAAAATAAAATTTAGGGGTGGGCTACCCTTAACATTTAGGGGGATAAAAATAGATGTTGGCCGATTCTCAGACCTACTCAATATGCTCACAAAATTTCATGAGAATCGGTCAAGCCGTTTCGGAGGAGTATGAGAACGAAAATTGTGACACGAGAATTTTATATATTATATAAGATTTATTAAATACCAGAAGTGTAAACAAAATATTTATCGACTATCCAATCCTTACTTGAGTCAAGTTACTATTACTTTTGGTGCCTCCATATAACGCCGACACTATGAGGTCATTCATCTTTGGAGTTTAACTGTTTTATTCCTTAACTTCTCGCAGCGTGGTTAAACAGAATTGACCGCTTGAAGCTCTCCGTACATTCAGCTAACTTTCCATTCAATAACACCATCATTTTATATTTCTCTTTTTCTTACAACTTTGTTGGAGCTCACTTAAAACATTTTTCTACTGGCGACTGCAGAATAATAGCTCGCTCTGCTCACGGTATTGTTATACGAAGTCCATTATAGTTCTGGAGTGGAGAGAACGGTCTTATACCACTATAGCTTTATAAACTTTCCTTCAGCAACTCGTCCTAAATAGAACTAATCTCGTACAATGTATTGGGCATAGATTAATACACAATTTTGTGCGTTAAACAAGTACACTATTATTTACTGTAGATTCTTAAAACTGATTGAAACAAATAGTTTAATGTAACGATTGATAAATGTATTTATAATTCGCTTTAAATGTCGTTGCTTTTTGTGTAAATATACTGTTCTTATAAAAGGATATTTTTATGGCAGGAAAAAATGTATTGGAAAATTCATATCAACGGCAGCAATGAACGGCAAAACCTTTTCTTGACTTCGAATATTGCCTCAAATACTTTCCACAGAACGCCGGGAAATGGTTTAGTGAAAGCGCGCGATTTTACCACTGATGTGGGCATTCGTCACATGTCACATCCAACAGAGGGCGTGCCGCGACCTGGTCAATGGCTTTAGTAATAGATGTTTGCAAAACCTATATTATAACTCTACTACGAGTACCGTTACATGAAAATTGTTTTTCTTTCAATGTCAAGGAGTAACTAACATTTTCCGGAAATACTCACGTAGGAAATATGACCGGTTCGGCATCGCAACAAATCTAATACTTTAATTTATCAAACGAATTTCCAGATCTTTTTCAGGTAAATGATGTGGAATAACAAAGTACGGCACCGTGCCTCCCCCACCCCCTCCCGCCGCCGCCCCCGCCGCCCCCGCCGCGAGCTTATCAACGTTTCTGTTTCAATACATTTAATGGTTTATAAACTTCGTAACACATTCAGTCAAAACATAATTTTATAATATATTATATTTTGTTATGTATCGTTGTTTGCACATTTATGTATTCCTAACGAACGTTAAATAAAACATTATAATTCATTAGGAGAGACGAGTTATCTCATTAATTGTGACGTAAAGTCATCGCTCGCGTGACGTCACATTCTTACGTGTGCATATTTATATTAACATAGAACTTAACACTTCTAGTATGTAATTGTTTCAGACGTGAACCTGCCGAGTTTTGTGGGCGAGGGCAGCAACGTTACCGTGGCTGTCGGCCGGGACGCCGCCATCACATGCAAGGTCGACAACCTGCAGATATACAAGGTAACATATTTTTACAAATGGCTATTGATTCAATAATAAACCTAGGAAACCTACGCAAGTATAATAAATTTGATGAAATACCTTTTTACCGTTTCCTCCAATTGAAAGACATTTTTTAAAAAATATTCCATAAATAAAATATTTAATTTCTTAGGTTTTCAAGTGGTATCTTTACCTGATCACAGCTAACCATCGCCATTTGAATGAAAGGATCAAAATTTATATTACTTGTGCTTGTTTAGAACAGGCAACACGCGTGTGTCGGAGTTCTCATGTTCTCTGTATAATTTCCTCTCTGTTTACTCACGATACCTGCGGCGCCTGCTCTGCTGAATTAGTACGTAACCTTACACTGAACAGCTTTAACGAAGCCGTTATCGTGACTGCATTCAGTTTGCTCGCGACCTAATCTGCGTTTGTGAATACAAATTAGAACTCTGTGTTTTCATTGCCATCGTTGAACAAACTTCACATATTATTAGGATGGTTTGTATTAAGGTTATGTGTAGTAATACAGCCATAAGTAGTTGTATTTAATTAGGACTTGTTAAATATTTTGGATATTTTTTAATGTTTATTACTCAAAGGCTATATAATATCAATACATCTCATGTTACAAATTGGCAAATCCGCTTTATCTGGCGTGAGCTAGTGACGGATCTGATAAAGTGGTTTGCATGCTCGCTTTGACCCTGCGTGTTATGTCCAATTTTGTTAAGCGGCAACTGCCGTCTATTGTTATTATGATACAACAGCTTCTCTATTTTTTGCTTAAAAAATAGGGATTTTCTCAACTTACAGTAAAATAAAATGTCAGAATAATTAGTAAAATAACACACAGGGATAAAGGAAGTTTTAATTAATCCGAAGCGGGGAGGTTGATGTTGATGATCGAAAACAAAACAACAAACGTCTTGAGCGAACCAGCGTCGTTTGAAAAAATATAAGAGAAGGGGCGCCTTTTGTTACAGGTTTTAACATTTTATGTAATTGTTTCCTTCCTTATATTTTGTTGTTGACAAATAAAATGTACATATGAGAGGTAAGAATTTTGAATAATATTTTATCTAAATGTTAGTCGGCGTATGCAGGTGGCGTGGCTGCGCGTGGACACGCAGACGATCTTGTCCATCGGAAGCCACGTAATCACTAAGAACCCCCGCGTGGGCGTGACGCAGGGTGAGGGCGCGTGGACGCTGGCGCTGCGCGGCGTGGCGCCCGCCGACAGCGGCCGTTACATGTGTCAGCTCAACACGCAACCTATGATGAGCCAGGTTCATCGCCTGCAGGTCGTCGGTCAGCACCAACATCAATATACCTTACCATATTTTACGTAGATGCTTATAATTTTTTTTTTGACATTTCGGTTGCTTACATTATCTTCTTGTTTAGTTGTTAGTAGAATATATGCTTAATAAGAAGCAATATTGTTCTCGAATGTTACTATGCTGTGTAGTTCCGCCGGACATCGATGGCGAAGAAAGCAGCGGCGACGTGACGGCGCGTGAGGGCGCTAGTGTCGCGTTGCGCTGCCTCGCCTCAGGCAACCCTCCACCTGCCGTCACCTGGCGCAGAGAGGACGCCGCGCATTTCGCATTGGACGGTAAAGTTACGGGTTCGTTGATACTTTAGTATCTCCTTTGTAACATTTTGCATGTATGCATTCTCTTTCCGTTACCCAAATTTCATCTTGTTACTGTTGTGTTTGATATTTTCCAATTGCTTCATTCTAAGCAGTTGTTTTTTGCACTGCTTTTTAGAATAAAAGCTAAGTGGAAGTTCTGGGTGACAAATAACATTTCAAAAGTTAAATAATCATTTATCCTCAGCGAGACAAGAAGTTGCGCTAACAATAACCGCATTCAATTAGTTGAGCAACAAAACAACAGCGCGCGGAAATACAAAAGGAAATCTCGGGCTTCTGTAAATGTACATTAAAAATAAACTCAACTAATTTGCATTCATTGCTAACGATCTGCGTTGCCGTTTAAATCTTCTTTTTCTTCTATCCTACGGATATAGGATAATCACATAAGTTAACTTCTTTCCAGATACAATTACTTATTTGTAATAAACAAATGCAATACTAATTAACCAGATTTTATTTCTCCGTCTTTTTACATTGAAATATGCAGAAAATCTCTTATATTATCTAAGTGACGTGCAGGACTCAGCGCAGCGCTTAAACTAAAATAAACATATTTCAGTAAATTAATTATTTTATTTTTATTAAAATAAAAGTGGGATGAATATTAGTATTTACTAAGCAAATGCATACCGTCCTTAGATCACATAGCCACTTACTATCAAGTGAGTTTGTGGTCAAGCACTCGTTTATTCAACATAAAAAATATTGGAGAAGGGTAAAAATGTGCTCAGTCCTGCATATAAAAGATGGTCTTTTTTATTGCTGACATATTAAAATATTGATGAAAACGATAGGTAAATTGAATAAAATCTGTTTAGTTTCCAAATGGACCGGTGAGTGGTTGAACATGAGTGCGGTGCAACGCGAGACGATGGGGGCATACCTCTGTATAGCTTCCAACGGAGTACCGCCCTCCGTCAGCAAGAGGATACAAGTCAATGTTATGTGTAAGTTCAGCTTTAAGTCTAATTTCTTATTCAAGTTGTAAATTAACCGCTTTGGTAATAACAAAACTATGACAATGCGCCGTGTGTGCAGTCGCACCGCGGGTCTACGCCGACGCAGTGGCGATGCGCGCGGGGGCTGGAAGCGCCGTCACGTTACGATGCCGCGCCCACGCCCACCCGACTCCGCAGACATACTGGACGCTTAACGGGGAACAGCGGCTGTCCAATGGTTAATACTTTAATATATTTTATAAATTAATTTTAGTAAGTAAGCATTGTACTATTAGACTTATATTAATTAGTTTTTAGATTATTGTCTTATATTAATTGGTTTTTAATAATCACGAAGTCTTGCGAAAGTTTAAATAATTTAAATAAAATATATGAAAAATTGAAATAAAAACCAACTTTAATATTGATATTTCTATTGATACATTGCTGTACTACGTAATAGATAAAAAGTATTACACTATAGAAATTTAATGTTACTCTTAAGGATATCTTCGTATTTCATTTAAGAGCTATTTTATCGATCAACTGTTTGGCTACTCTCCAAAGAATTTACTTCAAATACCACCTCTGCAAAGCGTGTGATAGATGGCACGTGCACCTCCACCCGGAGCTCGAACTGTTATTTGATTTCGTATTATTTTAGCGGCTATTTATAAGTGTTGTATATTGTTTGTAATATAATTACTTTTTGCAGCTCGCCAGCTTCTTAAATATACTATAAAAATGATAAATTAACTTATTACGAGTCACATAAAGTTATAGTAAGCAACAGACAATATCTATCCTGTCATTTTGTTAGAGTTAATAATATTAAATGTGACAATAACGGCGCACATTATGTCTAGTAATTTTGAGTAAAACATTAAAATCTGTCAGAATAGGTTTAGGAAATATTTTGCTTATTTTCATTAATCATGTTACCTTTTCTTTGAGTTAGTTTGACAACACTAATAAGTGTTGTATTATTATTTTTTTAGGTCGATTTAAACCACTCGTTGTTTTCAGGATCAAAATACACAATGACGACTACAGTGAAGGACTCTACGTATACGTTGAGCCTGAGGATCGAGAACATGGCGCGCTCGGACGCCGGCGCCTACCGCTGCCACGCAGAGAACGCCCTCGACAGGGCCCACGCAGACCTCTTCCTGCACTGTCAGTCTCTGTTAATTGATATGACAAAAAAAGAAAAAGTTGTTTTTAATAAAAAAAATCAATAAACCGAACTGTTATACAATATGGGGAAGAATACAAATTGAATGACACCTCATCCATCTAAATAGGTTACATCAATTAAGGCTAATGAAAAATCCTTTTAAATTATAATTAAGAATTGTGGTTATTCATCTTATAATTGTGAATTCGAATATGTTTCGTTGCACAGTGGTGACTACAACATCTACCACGACGACCACCTCGACGACAACAACAACTACAACAACAACCACAACCCCAACCCCAACCCCACCGCCGACCACCAACAACAACAACATAGCTACGTGTACGTAATGCAAACTTTATTGTTTCGTTTTATTTTAAATGTTTAGATATTTAATTTGATTACTTTTTACACAAAAACTCAATGTGAACATATATATGTAGTGCGCTCAGATGCGGCGGAGGGTCAGCTGGAGCAGCTGCTACGGGGGGTGATGTCCGACCCCGCGGCGGAGGGCGCCTACGTCGTGCTCAGCCAACAACACATGCAGAACCTTGGTATGTCTTCCACATACACTTATAGATTAGTTTTTACGTTTTTAGCAGTGACCAGACTAGACTATCAGACGGACAGTGGTTGGCAGATATAAAAGAGGCCGAAATCCCGTTACCTTGGCCACATGTTCTGTGGCCGTTATTAAAAAAATCTTGTCGCAGCCTCGATTGTTTTTATAATAAAAGTATTGTTGTATTTATAATAAAAGAACTTGTTTTTCATACTAACTTACACATTTGATATAAGAAATGAAGACGACGACCTGACCGGAGGCGGGTGGCCACGACGATGCGGCCTGGAGTGACCGCTGGCCACCGCTGCGGGGCGCGGCCACCTCGGTCGCAGCCATCTGGCTGCCCTTTCTACTCCTCATTGGCGTTCTGGCGTGATGTCGCGGCCACCTGTCTCATGTTCTCGTGAGTGATTCCTGCCCATATATGGACTTGTAGACTTAAGGAACTCTGTATATAAACAGTTTAATACACAAACGTATATAAAAAATGTACGTGTAATTCGTAAGTTAGTCTATAACTATAGATATACATAAGTACCTACTTTTGTAAGGAGTGAGAGATAAAAAACGTGAAAGTCAAATGTCTTGTTTCGTTAATCGTTACATTACACTCAATATACTTGTTTTGAATACGTACAGTAGTATTAGTTTAATTTGTGTTGTTGCATACAATGCTGCTTATACAAAAACCTTTATATGATTCAACTTAACTAAATTGCTCAAATATTAAAAATGGAAAGATGTAAAACGAGTATACATAGTTTACAAAAAAAGTTTTTAATTAAGGTTGTGTTTAACTGTTTTTAATCAAGACTTAATATTTTGTTTTATACGTGTAGGTACATGTAAATACATATTATTAATTACGAAGAGCACCATGTATATTATACGATTTTTTTTATTTTACATTTTCTTTCATGTACATATTATAATTGCAGCGAAATATTGTTTGCTAAAGAATATAAGAAATATATTTCGCTGCTTATGTTAGAATCTTGACTTGATTTTGATATAATATATGTGACGACATTCGTGATATCGTGCCATTATGAACGATTCGCAAAATGTGATGATGTACAAAATTGTTCTGTTCTAAAAATAAATACTAAAAAAATAACGTAGTTTTAATCATTCATTGTATTGTTTAAAAGAACTGATAAATGGTGGCATTTAATATGTTAGTTATCTGTTGTTGCTGCTCGTGTATTTACATAGAAATACAGCGAATAACAGTGGTAGACATCAGGAAGAACAACATCTGTTCCACGAAAGGTCTGGCTCACTCGGTGCAATACCACCACCACACAGGAGACAGACGTCAAGTGGAAGGTATCAGAGTTTCGTTTGATGAGTGTGCATTACGTAGGCCTGATTTAAGTCCTCTTTCAAAATTCTCTAAGGAAAGGATGGGAAGGAAAGGTGGATTTCTCTTCCCCTTCCATCAAATGATTGAGGAGGGAAGAAGGTTTAATATTCTCTTTTTTTCGTCTCCTCATCCGCCGATTGAAGGGCAGAGTCGCTTCGCCATTCCTTCAGGTGGCCACCAATTAAGGTGCTCGCTTGATCGTATGCTACCCTATAAATTAAAAATAGGTCCGGTCTCACTAGGGACATACCACAACCTCTGGTAAACTTTTGTTGTATCGTGGTTTCATCTATTATTTTATGAATACGAAGTAAAATCCGTATCAAGTTTTTCACAAAACTCTCTCTGTGCAAATCGAGGGTTACTTTTTCGGGATAACATTAATAGGGCGGTTATTATTTTTGCGAGATTGGTTTTAATCACCCTCACTGAATATTGGTAGCAGTTAATACAGTTTGGACATTGAAAATTGATTAAATGCAAATACTTGAGAGGATCAAAATTGATTAGTTTATCAGCAGATAATTAAATTCTTCCCCTGTCCCCTCCCCTTCCCCTAGGCCTTTGTCAGGGCACACGCTGTATAACTTAATAAACAGGGCTCAGCTGCCGCTTACCTTAATTAAGAGACTGTAATGATACTGAAGTACATTGTACAGGCTTTATTGTATTTATTGTATATTCTTAATCCTAATCATAATTTTAATATTAATAAATATAATGCGCGCATCAAAATTATCTTCAATGTTAAAACCATTTTGCAAAGACTGCTCAATAGAAATACTTGCTCTATTTCGTGAAGTAAGCGGGAACTTTTGTCTCAGAACTTCTCCTGAATTGTAGACATGAACTGAATAATATTTACTGTTGTGATATTTGTTTACAATAAAAATCACCTCAGAAATTGTATAATTTTGAAACGAGTTTTACTTTTCTAAAAGCAATTAATATTTCTATTATAACTTATAGTTACAAAGGCGAACCGACGCATCAACAACTTTCCGCGATATAAACTATGAAAGCTTTTGCTTGAAATCTTTTAACTTTTACTCTTTTTAATAGTCAGCAGTCAGTTGCTTTACAACCTCTTTGCTGGATATAAAGTTGGCAAGTATAAAGAAAAGAAATATAGTGAGTTTAGCGTTTCGCCATAATGCTAGAATATCGTCATAATATCGTATATACATAATATCATGCTAGTTTTTAATTTGTATATGTACAATATGAAAGTGTACATGTAACCTTGTATCACCGCAAGCTAATCGGAGATATACAGCAGTCGTCGCCTTTCTCAGACGTACAAATCACATTATTACTTCAATCTAAAAGGTACAAAGGAATGGCGAGGTCAGAGTAACTTCACAATGATCTCATTATCGCGGGATTCCTCATTGCGTCGTTTTCTAAGCTCGCCAACTTCTTGAATGGGCGAGGGACCGCTAAGCCGAATCAGATTAATGAAGTGATGGTTTGTTTGACACCTTCTTTGCGGGTTTCGTTTGATCATAGCTTATTCAAACAAGATGCAGGCGTCACTTCTGATAAATGCTCAGTCAAAGTCGACAATTATTATAATTTATTATTTTTTAATCTTAAACTTTACTTTTTTCTTTAACCAAACTCGGCAAGGCCTGATTTCATACGCAAGTTGTAAGTACTTAGATATAATTAGGCACTATTTTAAGACAAACTAATTTAAGTACCCTAGAAAACTGTAATAATTAAAATTCATTAACACCCTGTACATATGTTTACACATCGAATTTAGGCAAATAAAGCTTTAGGGACATATAAAATTACCTGGAATTTTCTGTGCAACAGTAATATGAGCTTAAAATTCCCTTTGGCGTTGACATTGTTTGTTATAAAATTCCTAGAAGCGATTCGAGAAAAACACAAATATGTTTTTGCAATTCTACTAACTAATTTGTGTAGGGATTAAAACAAAAACATGTTTTATTTTCGCCTCTGATCTTCAAACAATGCAGTAAAAAGTACTGGCGATATGACAAGGTTATTTGTCCTCTAATATAGCCGGTGTTGATTCGAGCTGTGACTTCATGCCGCTCGCTGGTGACGTGTGACGAATGTTCATATTTAGAAGATATATCGCCCGGCTCCGTGTACACCATTTATACGAGTAGGAAGCCCCCGTATGAAAGATCACGCGGGTTCATTTAACACAAATACGTCGTTCACTTTTTGAAAGATTTTTCTTATTCTTTTATATCTTGAACTCTTTGTGGATTTACAAATGAGTGCCTTTTTAATTGCTTTGTATTTCTTATGAATAAGCATTTTTTACTAACCGAAAGTATGAGAGAATTTGAGTAATAAATTGATAAATTGATTATTTAGTGTCACGTCTCCAACATTTACAAGTTAATAAAAACAATATTAAATCAGAATTTACATAAGAATTTTGGATATTTCTACATATGTATATCAAAGAAGAGATAGCACAAATGTTTAAAATGTAAAATGTCTAATATGACTCCGCCAAAGAGACGCATGTATTTGTATTTTGAATCTGATAAACAAAATTGTTGTCCCAGCAACGCACGAATTAGCTAATAAAATGCAAAGATCTGAATGATACGCGAGACACGACGCAGCCCATTAAGAGAAATTGGATGCGGCGTGTCTGCGGCGACGACGTCGTCTCCGGCAGCCGCAAACGATAGCGATCCTTGAATTAAACCTGAGCTTCAGTCAACACTCGCAGGGACACGAAATTGACGTGTTCATGCAGGAAGTGCATATTGTATATACAATAAGTCAACGACGCGGTTAATGTTTGACAAAGTAAATTCATTCGTTGTATTTAAAGTATTATATATTTATTTCATTACTTCACAATATTTTAATTATTATCTTATTCTAACATTTTTGAAGATTATTTTAACTTAATTAGTGGTAAAGCTGGCTGAATTGAAATCAAGAGTTTAATAGAAACGGAACTAACAGAAGTAACAATGTGTTATCAATTTACACATCATTCTCTTCATAATACGCTTTCCTCACGAATATCAGATGAAATGTTCTGCTTTAAGCCGCACTTTATATAGACATTAATTTCACACTTAATTCGTGTTCCAATTTACCTCATGTTCCCCGCTCCCTTCCCCCCCCCCCCCCCCCCCCCC